CCGAAAAAACAAAGAGACCCTTAAATTTGTACAGGAGACACACAACTTTAACGTTTACACAGAAGAGTACGAAGTATTTTCCGATAAAGTATATCCTATTATATTTTGCACACAATTTTCTTATGTGATTTAAGACAAAAACAACACCGAACATTATATTTAATCAGGTTAAAATAGTTAGTTATTTCGTATTTGTTTGAAAATTTGAAATAGGTTTTTCTATTTTGATTATATCAATTGAGTTTTTATTTTTTTTAAATATATAACAATTAGATCTTTTTCCGTGTCATATGTTTGTTTATAATTTTATTAATTTATAATTTATTTATTTATTTTTATTTTTATTATATTTTAATTGTTTATTTAGTTTTAAAAATTATTTTATTGACTTGTCAAGTCAGTGTTAAGTTATTGTTTGAATTTCAATTTGGCTCATATATTTGTTATTTTAATTTAATTTAATTTTAATTCTTTTTAAAGTTGAATAATTTTATTTTTCTTGAAAATCAAATTTAATTTTTATATAAATATTATAAAATGTTCTTTTTAAAAATTATGTTTTAGTTAAATATTTTTAATACTAAAGATTAAATTTATTTAAATTTATATTTTACATTGATTTTTTTTTAATTTTGTTTTAAAATTTTAAATGTATTTGTGTTTGTAACATCCCAAAAATACAGTATAAACTATATGATAGAATAATTACATTTAATAATAATTCAGATCAGTCTTAAATTTAGAAGAGCGTACGGTTATGGCCGAACGACCTTACAGACAGAGTTACAAACTTAAACTATACAGCAGTACAAAACTAACCGAATGGTTTACAAAACAATATACATCAATCGGTCATACATAACAGAATGGAAAGGTGATCGAACGACCACCTCACTACAAAAACTTAAACTACAGACCGAACGTTCTACTGTTCGGTCTTAACTTCAACCTCGACCAAATTTTCTTCTTCCAGCACATCTAAAAACAGCTCGCCCCCTTCTGCTCACATCCACACGGATGATCATTGCAACGACAAGACGAACATACAAAACAAGACACGACAGGAAATACAGGGTAAGCTTATATAATTTAATTCATGCATAAACATACATTTCAAGCAATCCAACACACAAGATAAATTTCATCATACGCATCATACAAAGCCTATTACTAGACTGACCGTCCGGACTGTATGAAATCTGTGTAGCTACAGGCGTTCGTGCACCCAGGTGGTGTAGTAACTGGGATGCCTTCAACAGCTGCCACCCAAGGTTAATCCTATCTGTCCAAAGTACCCCTAAGGACTAGGACCTCCTACCGTTCCCACACATGACCTACCCTCCTCTACGTGAAGACGAGTACTTACGGAACATCAGGATGAACAGCCAGCTTAGCATGCCCACAGTCATACCTTACAAATTTCAATATTCATACATGAGTCGTTCCTCTCCGGAACGCTCGTCCATAATCCACAACATTTCCATAACACATTTTCTTCATCTTTCATTAATAAGTATCTCATTAACCACCTCGCACAAAGATCCATACGAATTCTAAATAACGAACGTTCAACCCGAACTCAGAACGAGACCAAACACGTAGAGTGAAATCGCGAGATCTCAAATTTTGGAATAGATTAAGAACAAGGGGTTGATATCGGGTTGAGAAAGATAACGAGCACAATCATATATTCCAAGAAACGAATGGAACGAACGTCAATTACAACATTGAGCCAATTCGATGAACTGACTCTTGAGAACTCTATCAGAACATCAAAAAGACCAGACCAAGAACGAGGACTTCAGAGTGAAACCAATGAAGAAGGATATTTCAAGGCATTCAAAACTAATACTCAAAATAATTCACATGAAAGGACCAAACACTTGTGAATACTTAGTTTAATTAAGTATAATATCAAGAAATCCGAATGTCAGTCAAAGACTGAACACTATAGTGAGCGAACCCTAGAGGGCTTGAACGAACGCTCGTATTAGAAAAATTTAGCTTAAGGAGATAGAATGAGTGCCTGGTGTAAGACCAAACACTTGCTTAGGACGAACACTTGGTATAAGACCAGGTGTACTAAACTTATAGAAAAGAGGCCTGATAATTATACTAAGATACTATGGAGTAGTATTTAAGAATAACTAAAATATACAATTTCATATATATATATATATATATATATATACATACTTAAGTTTATAACAGGATATCAAGAAGGAACTATGTTTGGCCGAACGCTCAAACACAATATTTCGAAGTACAGACACTCGTCCTAAACTAGGATTCTTCCCAAATGAAAGAATCCACTACTAACCAAATTCACTAGAAAACCGAACGGTCAAGGACTGTTCGTTAACGTACGTACACTTTCTTAGGGGAAATTTCATACCATGATCATTGACATTCCAACTCATTTCTTAAGACCTAATTTCATAACTTTATACCTTCATATAAAAATTTATTTGCATACTTCATACAATCCATAACTCAGTAAATACTCATATTCATACTTTATAAATCATATTTCACATAAACAATCATATCAACATTCATACTTTATATACATTCAACCACTCAGAAACATACATTCATTATCATCGAACGAGCAAAGAACATACAATTAAATTAGATAAGCTTCCCTTACCTCTAGTGTGAACGATCGTCCTAAAGGCAGATTTTGGTTCGTCTGACTACAGATCTTTCTACTCTCAACGCTAAACAACACTTCAAACTAAACCAAACAACATAAAATTAATAATGGCTCAGTCCAGATGACAGCATGCAACCAGAACTTGGTTTGCATGTACCAGAAACGATCGGCTAAAGACAAGGAAACTTACCGGTTTCAGAACTCGAAATTGTTCGGTTCAAAATGAAGCTTGGGACGCCGGGAGTGTTCCTACGGTGCCTGAACGGAGATCGGAGAAGAGAAATGGTGAGTTTTGGTAGAGAGAAGGGAGAGCTTTTGGAGAGAAGGAGGAGAATTTGAGAAAAATCAGATTTTGGAGAAGAAGATGCATGCAGAGAGTGTGACGCGATTTTCAGAAAATTTTGTTTTGTTAAAACCGAACGTCCGCTCCTCTGCTGACACCTGCATTCTACTATCTGATTTCTGATCCTTGTTGCTTGACACCTGATGTCTGTTCAGAGGGGTTTTGGGTGCGTTTTTAATGAGGTCTGATAGTGTTGATATTTTATTACACAAAATTTTAATATTATTTTTTATTTGATTTATTTTTCGAATAGTTGTTTATAAATTTATATAGATTTATAAATTTATATTTTAAATATTTGTATAACTCTATATACCAATAATATTTATACAAATACAATTGGTTTAATAATAAAAAATTTTAAATTCAAATGTAAAATTTTAACACAGAAATTTAAATAAAGTTTAATATAAAATATAAATTTAAATAAAGTTAATATTGTTAAAAGTATTTAATAAAATTATCAGTTTTAATAAAAATATCTTTATAAAATTCATATGAAAGTTAAATTTGGTTTTAATAAGTGAAATTGTTTAATTTTAAAAAAAATTAAGAGTAAATTTAATCAAAATAACAAAGGACTAAATTGATATTCAAACAATGATTACAACATACAAGAACAAACACTAGCTCTCAACTCTGGCTATCCTTGCAGAGGTATCCAATTACACGAATTGCTAAAGGACTTCATCAAATCACACATGATAAAACTCTCAATTATCATACCCTTAGGATAAAATCCTATTATGGGATAACCCAACAAAATTATACATATATCCATTGGAAAAACCCAACACAACCATGATATGACCCTATCACCATGCAAAACATATTGTCATACATCCACATGCATTAAAACAACATTACCTTTCAAGATAATCAAAAGCAAACCCTATTCATCATAAAAACAAATAAGAAAATAACCAATGATAAGTTTCTCCATACCTTGGCCAATCCTCCCTTGCACTAAGGTTTTCTACAACTCTTTCTCTTTTTCTCCTAGAAAACATTTATTTTCTCCCTTAACACTCAATTTCGTTTTTAGGAAAACTATGTGCAACCCCTTTTTCCTCTTCTCTTTTTTTTATCTTTTTTCACTTTATATCTTTATCTTTTTGGTTGAAATAAAATCTCTCACTTAATCTTTTAAAGCCATCAAGATTTCCTCTCTTATTTTATCTTATATACTTTTTAAAATACCACTAACCACCAAAAATCTCTTAAAGATTCTCGTAATATTTTAATTTTAGATTTTAATTTTATTCTTTTACTTTTTACACCCCCTTATATTAATTTCTATACCGATTAATAAAGACAAAAATATACTTTTATCTTTGGGCCTAAAATTCAATTAAAACAAAAGTTTCTCTTAACTCTTTTTCATTCTAGAATTGAACACACACCCATTCAATCCTAAACCACCCTTCCATCAACAAGTCAACACATCACATTTATCACACAAATCATTAAAATGACAATATATCAATCATATATTTTACTTAATCAACAATAACATTAATTAATAAGCATAACAATTATAATCATAAAAAAACACCTAAATATTAAACATCAATTATGAGCCAATAATATTCAAGTCTCAAAATCACTTCATTCTCTGATTACTATAATTTTGCTAATATTAACTTAAGCTAAGCATAAATGTTGTCCTACAACTTTACTAATGTTAAAAAATCCTACACTATTATTTAAAAGAAAATCCTACACTACTTAACCTATTTTATAATAGTCTAGAAATACTTCATGATGATGCAAATGAATAAGAATTTAGCTTTACCTTGAAAATTCTTAACTCTTCTTAAACTTTTTTAGCCATGTTTTTTTGATTGAACCTTGAATAAGGATTTGCCATGAGTGCCACAGTAGTAAAGCAAGGATATCAACGAGTATAAAGAATAAAGATGAAGCTCCAAAGGAGTTTATCATCTAGGATACGAGCATCGACCTTCACATTGACGCCACTAGAGGATGATTTGAGTTATCTACGAGGTTCGAGATTGGTGGGGTCAGGATTTACGCGCTTACCAGATGGCATGGATGTGCTTAAGGGGTATATTGAGGACTATGTCATAAGTCTTCGGGTGTGCGAAGTTTATTTACTCATACTCAGACAAATCTTGATTTTTATGAATGAGAAATTATTGTCTGATCTAAAACCAGTAGGGATGAACAACTTCAATTTAAAATGCCAGCAATCCAAGACATAGTCTGATTAATCAAGTGACAACCAAAACCAGAGGTTTCTGATTACCATATAAGATGGGTCTCTGCTTCTCCGGTGTTCCATCACTTCATTCCTCTTCACTCAACCGCCCTCACTATCCAGGCAAGTTATCAAAATTTCTGTGTCCTTTCTAAATTCATCCCAAAACAGGAAATGATTCGTTCCTTTTTTTCCTCCCATTCGAATTTTCCCATGACGGGTTCGGTTCCTCTGTTTTCAGGTTCATCAGACATTCACGGCAGCAACGTCGAGTTCTCCGGAACCACCACAACCACCACGGTCACAAAGAGTAGGTTTTCCGTGAGAGAAGGCATAGACAGCGAATGCTCTCCTCTTCCTTTTCCCGGTGGCCAAATTCTGAAATGGCCTGAGTTGAAGGTGTTCAGTTTTGAGGAGCTAAAATCTGCCACAGGGAATTTTAAATCCGACAGATTGGTTGGTGGGTTCGGCAGACTTTACAAGGGATGGTTGGATGAGAACACCCTCACCCCCGCCAAACCATGCTTTGGAGTTGAAGTTGCCATCAAAATGTTCAACCCGGAAAGTTCTCAAGGGTTTTCAGAGTGGCAGGTTTCATTTACATTTTTTAAACTTTGACTTTAAATTTTTAATGAACTGAAACACTTCCGCCCTTAGATTAAAGTAATCACTATCATGTTATGCATCTTAGCAATTGAGTACAAACTTTTCTTTACAATGTGGTAAAGTTAGATGAACAAGTCCTTTTCTATCATGTTGTAATTTTACTTGTGATATTGCATTTAATTTCCGTGTCATTAATCATGCGTCTCGAACAACTTGAGTTGCTATATAAACATTTGAATTGGTTGGAAAATGCAGTCTGAGATAAACGTTTTAGGAAGGCTTTCTCACCCCAACGTGGTCAGGTTATTGGGGTACTGTTGGGACGAAGATCAGTTTCTTCTTGTGTATGAGTACATGCCAAAGAGAAGCTTCGAGCGTCATCTCTTCGAAAGTATGAACTGATGACAATTAAAACAGATTGAAGGAATCAAATCTTGACTTTAAGTTTAATTCATATTATTTGTCTTGTTTCTGTGCAGGAAATCATGAACCACTTACGTGGAACACCCGGCTTAAAATAGTTATCGGTGCAGCTCGGGGATTAGCTTTCTTGCATGCCAACGAAAATAAGGCCATATTCAGAGATTTCAAGACCTCAAATGTACTGCTCGACGGGGTGAGTTAGTTTTTATTCGTATGTCGTATTGGAATCCAAAGCAAATACAGTATCAAGTCAGGATGAATGGGCACTTACTAATTTGGACCCCATCATTGGTTTTACTGGGCAAACTCATTTTGAAAAGGTTTAACTCCATCTTTTAACATACAACCTGAAAAATGCAATATCTTCATTCTCATAGTCTCTTTCTTAGGGTTGTCAATACTATAGAGCCGGTGTCTAGTTGAAGAATAATATCACATGGTGATATTTTTAAATTGAGTGCTGAATTCCTCATATAACTTTAATAAGCGATTGCTTTGTATAGTACAGAATTACAATGCAAAAATAGCAGACTTTGGGTTGGCTAAAGGGCTTCCTGGGGAACAATCACTTGTAAATACCCTGGGCATCTATGGTAATGCTGCACCAGAATATCTCGCAACAGGTAACTATATCTGGTTTATTTGGTTTGAGGAAGTACTATTTGTTTTTATTTCACATATTCATAAGTAAAATGACACGTCACTTCTTGATTTCAAAGAAACTTAACAGGGAAAAAAGACATTGTCTTGTGAAAATAAGTCAAAGACAAGAAAACAGAAAGTTTCCTTAAAACAAAACACCTTAATGTTATAGCAGTAAAGCAATGAATGTTTTGTGGAAGATGAAGTTGGGAAGGTAGACTAAAAATAAGGAATAATGAACATGTGTTTGGATTGTATAAATATTTGACAGGGAAGTTGTATACGAAGAGTGATGTGTATGGATTTGGTGTGGTGCTTCTTGAAATACTGACAGGCATGAGAGCATTTGACAGAAGAAGGCCATCAGGGCAGCAGGACCTGGTTGAATGGACCAAGCCCTGTCTCTCTTCCAAAAAAAAGTTGAAAACAATTATGGATGGTAAGATACAGGGTCAATATTCACCCAAAGCTGCATTACAAGCAGCACAACTTGCTCGAAAATGCCTAAAGGTTGACCATACTCAACGTCCTTCAATGAAAGAAGTTCTTGAAGGATTGGAAGCTATTGAAGATGTCCATGGAAGATACCCAACTCATACTCAATTACGTTTTCTATATGTTTGATTGAATGATTGTGTTAATGACTTGTATGTATGACTGAAACCTGTGAACTGTTTGGTTTCTGCTGAAATTGTGTTCGGTTTGTGCTTGGTTGAAGAAAGTGAATGAGTGGAATTGAGAAGTTGAAGCTAAAAACGAAATTAGGTAATGAATTGTGTTTGAGCATGTTTAGTTAGACTTGTTAGAGCCTTTAAGTTCTTCTGTAGGGTATGAAAAGTGAGAAACCTGACTTTGGGTCTTGGGTTCTTATTTTTGTGTAAATTAAGGTGAAATCTGTCGTGGAACTCTTTAGTTTGGTGTTTTTGAAGTTTAAGTATATATGATTAGGTGTGAAGTGATATATGATTCAAGTTTTGAGGATTTAAAGTTAGCCAAAGTGTTTAGAAATGGTCATGTTGGGTGTTGTTCATAATTCTACAAAAGTTCTGCAGAATTATGCAGAATGCTGAAATGGTTAGTGTTGATCGTTCGGCCTTGTTCTGATCTCAGTCATAACTAAGTCAGTCTCTTTAGAGACTCCTTAGTTCATGACCGCCCTATTGCTTAAAGAGTGTTCGGTCTTAGGCTGATACTCGGTTTCTTAAAGAGTGCTCGTATGAAGAGTGCTCGATCTTGTACTCCTGTTGTATTTGTGTAGGACCGTTCGGTCGATACACTTCTTGTATGACCGATCGGTAAGCTCTTTTGGTGTGTATTAGTATTGTTTCTGTAAAGTTTTAATTTATGGTTATTTTAGGATAACTGTAAGTTAGCTTTATTTCCTCTAACTGTTCTATCTTATTGTAAATGTAAGAACTCTTAAGTATAGTTTACAACTATATTTTTGGGATGTTACATTAATGGTATCAGAGCAGTTAGTTCCTAAAACGACCTGCGAGTTGTGGGTTTACCGTGTCTTTACTATGGAAAGTTGAGTCCAAATGGTATGTTCTACCATTTTCTCCAAGTTTAGATGGTAAAATTTTAGATATAACTGGAAGTTTTAAGAACAGAGAATGTCTTGATAGAAGTAATGAGGGTGCACACTCATGACTTTTACCGGAGATGATTTTTTTTTCTCAATTCTGATTGAAATTTAGACCCTTCTATTTATGGTATTTGACCGCTCGGTTTCATAGTGACCGTCTGGTCTTATATTGACCTTGTGACCGAAAATTTTATTTGTTACCGTTCGATCATGTATTGTATGTTTTCGTTATTTACTTGGCTATGCTAATTTGGCTTTTGGATGTAGTCAGCGTTAGGTTTAGATAATGTCCTTGTTCCCTTGAGTTAGACTGATAGTTCTTTCTTACTGTATAATTGGAAGATGGCATCTAGGTCTCTTCCTCCCTCACTTGCGGTTATGGATGCGCCTAACTCCACGACATTGATGAAATCAATAATCACGGAAATGCAACAACAGAACGTCGCATTAGTTTAGCAGAATACGGTGGCTCTTCAACATTTGGAGACCACTCGGATTTCAACAGAGAGGTCTCAACAGCAGTATGTGGATTTGATGTTGAAGGACAAGACTACAACTGGGTCATCTACTTCTTCTGCTATTCATCAGCAAGAATGGAGCTTAGAGAGTTTCCTACAACATCATCCGGCTAAGTTCAGTGGGAAGTGCAGTCCAGATGAGGCCGACCAGTGTTTCAAAGACTTGGAGAGGAATTTCAATGCTAAGAAGTGTCCGGACGAGAGCAGGTTGAATTATTCAAAGTAGTTGCTGACTGGGGAAGAAAGCCATTGGTGGAGTAGCATGAGGATGTTGTTAGAAAGAAGTGGTACACCTATCTCTTAGGAAGTTTTTAAGCAGAAGTTTTACACTGAGTACTTTCTTAATAATGTTCGGTTTGCAGAGTAAGTAGAAATTTAGCATAATCAACAATAGAGGGTTGAAGGACTGAGCGTATCTAGAGGTAATTTTGATTCCAGAAGAACTCCTTATTCTCGGCCTTCTTATTTTCCTTCTGGATTCAAAGGTTCTTCTGCAAAGTCATCCGATTCTTGTGGTCAATCTGGGCAGCAAAGGCCAATAAGTTGTTATAACTATGGAGGGCCTCATTTGAAATCAGTTTGTCCGCAATTAAGTCACACTAGAAAAATGACATATGACCACTACCTTTATAAGAAAACTCTTCACTTAGAGTTTTTCATGTGGTCACCATGTCTCATGTGGAACACCCTCCATCAAGCTAGGGTTACAAAACTGATCACCCATAATTAACTTAAGCTGGGCGTAAATATTGTTTTATAACTTAAGCAAGATTGTTAAAAAATCCTATACTACTTGACCTTTAATACAAAGCCTAAAAAGAAATCCTACACCACTTGACCCTTAATACAAGATCTAAATATTCTTAATCTACTAGAGGTGCTCCATGATGGTCTAAGAGAAAGGGCTTTGTTTTACCTTACATAGATGACTCTAGCTCTTCTTGAATGTGTTTAGGCTATGTTTAGAGGGTATGTCATCAGATTCCCACCTCCGATGATCATATGACTTGTGTTATATGTGAACAAATAATGTTGCAGATGATGGTTTGAATGCACAATAGTGAGGAGCTTGAGATTGCTTTCGAAACACATTTTCTTTTATTTCAAGTGTATTTTGATTAAATTTTAATTATTGAATATTTTTAAATGTTTTACTATTGTTTGAAATAATTTTTATTGAGTAAAACAATTATTTATGAAATAAATAATCATCTTAATTTTATTTTATGATGCGAAATAAATACATTTAGAATAAGCATGAAAAAAAAAATCTAAGTTTTTAGTAGCATCCCGAAATTGTGTTAAATTTTTTGTGTGGGACTGGTTTTCGGGTAGACATTATTCGTGCCCGACTCGACCCATTTGTAGGGAGCTTCAACACATAAATAAATCTCCACACCGGTAAGATATTGTCTGCTTTGGGTCAAGCCCTCACGGATTTGCTTTTGGTACCACTCCAAAAGGTCTCTTACCAATGGAGGTATCTTATGTGTATATAAATCCATGTCCATCTCTTATTTTATTCGATGTGGGACTTTGTTTGTACCCAATATCCTCCCCTCAAACAAAGGACTATGGTTCTCCACCTCCACCTCCCCTACAACGGAACCACTAAGCATCTCTTTGTCGTCTTTCACGATCCATGTTCACAACACTAAGCATCTCTTACTCTCCACCTCTCATGATTCATCTGGCTATCTACCATTGGCCACCCTGCCAAGGCTTCACCAGATCATGGAAAGACATACTCGTTTGAGCCCGGTTACCAAACCTGAACCATGGGCTCTGATACCATTTGTAGGGAGTTTCAACACACACATAGATCTCCACACTGATAATATTGTCCGCTTTGGGTCAAGCCCTCACGGATTTGCTTTTGGTACTACTTCAAAAGACCTCTTACCAATGGAGGTATCTTATGTGTATATAAACTCACGTTCATCTCTTATTTTATCCGATGTGGGACTTTGTTTGTACCCAACGCCATTGTCATCTCTAGTCGAGTAGACTTGGGCTGAAGGCCAAGCCGAGTCATTTCGGATCAAAGTTGAGCCAAGTGGTTCTAAACTGACAGTAAAGCTGAGTTATCTTGGGAAGAGGTCGAGTTAAGTCGGTCAAGATGAGCCTTGAGTCGAGTCGGCCCGAGAATAGGATCAAGTCGAGTCAGCCCAAGAATAAGGTTGAGCCAAGTAAGCCTAGGTCGAGGGTACAACCAAGTCAGCCCAGACCAAGGGTTGAGTCGAGGGTTGAACTGAGTCAACGCAGGTCAAGAGACGAGTAGAGTCGAGTCGGGTCGAAGGTCAAGTCTAGACAGTCTATGTCAAAACCGATTCAAGGCAGCCTTACCGAAGGTCGATCCAAGTTGGCTTATGTTAAGTTGAGTTAGCTCACATTGAAGGTCAAGACGAGTTGACTTGGAATGATCGTTGAAATGAATCGACCTTAGTTGAAAGTTGAGATGAGTCAACCCAGACTAAAGGTCATGTTTATTCGGCACAACTTGAATGTTTTTTAATTGACCTAAATCAAATGTTGAGCTAACTCAACACAAACTCAAAGATAGAATTAAGTTTACCTTAAAATAAAAATTAAAATGCTTTATCCAAACAAAAAAGTTGAAATCTAAAATATTTCAATTACTAATTTTGTTGTGCCTCGTCTTGATCTTCTTCTTTCTCTTTCTCCTCATACTTTTATTCTTCTTCTCAATCGTCTCCCGGTAATATATAAAAGATTCTCATTATTAGATTTGATGAAAAATTTATTGCTCATTTTACCAGCATATTTTTTGAGAATTTTTTTTATAATGGAAATTATAATTTATCCATGAAATTAACCTTAGATATATTACTAATGAAATTATTCGTCAATAATAAAAATTATAATTTATCAACGTATCCTACTAACAAATTAATTACCAATATCAATAATTTAAATTCTAAAATTTATAAGTAAAATCTTTTAATAAATATAGGTTTATTGACAAGATTATTTTCCTTCATAAAAATTCATTGATAATTATAAAATTTCTTGTAATAATAATAATAATAATAATGAAATTTTTAAAGAAAACTAAGATTATATAAATAAGTTGGGTTGAATTGTTGAAGCTTGAGATAATTTGAATTAAAATAAGCTTATTCTTCCTTCCTTAAAGAGAAAGGTATCTATTGGAAACATGAAATATTTTTCATCAACTTACTTGTCACTTCGACAGTATTAAACTTCCACTTAGTTTTCTCGTTGTGAAATCTTGTGGCAAGGCAGACAAACATTTTTGTTTGAAAAAGGTACACAAGTTTACTGGCTTTTTGACTGGACCGTTGAGTAATTATATAATTTACAAGCCATAATAAGATAACCAAAGAACTCTGCTTCTTTAAGAGTATTTAAAGCATACAAACGTATAAATTGTAGAAGCAAAATGCTACATTTTGTCATAATTCATATTTAAGCATTGTCACAACGTAAACACATTCTTTTTAAAAACTTATTAGTTTGATAAATCAAAATATTTGAACAATTTATTTTGTCCTAACATTTTTTCTTCCTCGTGGATCATAACAACCACAAACTATAGATGTAATAAAAAA